CTGCCTGTGTGTTGGTCTGCCTGTCCACATCACCCCATGCCAGCGGCCAGCAACCCCACAGCGGCAGTCACACCCGAATCTGGCCTGTTTGCCAACGTAGCATCAGTGTGGGGACAGGGCTTGGCATGAAGGTGCATGTGGAAAAGATTTGTGAATGAGTAGGTGAATGAATGAATGAATGAATGAATGAATGAACTCCACAAACATCCTCATGGCAGCTGCCACTGACAGGCAGTTGATATGGACCAGGCGTTCCGCTAAGCGTGGTTCACATACGTCCTCTCCGGATCCTCCCAGCAGCCCTGCCAGGGGAGCATTTGTTAGCCCATTTTACAGAAGAGGAAGTGGGTCTCGGACAGGTCAAGACACCTGACAGGTAGGTGTGACGGGGTTGCCACTTGACCCTGTCTGGCTGTCCCTAGAGTCATGCGTGCCCACAGACGAACCACACTGCTCCCTGCTGGCCTTGCGGTCTGCCCTGCAGACCCAGAACACCTGGCCAGAGGTCAAGAGAGCGTCCTATCCCCCCAGGGCAGGGGGGCATCAGCCCCAGCCCAGCGACACCTCCACTCGGGGATGGTTGACAATGAGTCCATGTTCCATCCCCAAAATGGGAACCTGAGGAAGGATCTGAGCTGTTCCCCCTGCTGGCTCACTCTGGGTGTGGAGTCTGCACCTCCAAGAGCCCCCATCCCCTCCCACATGGTCCCTGGGCCAGTGAACTGGAAATCACAGAATCTTGGGTTGGAAGGGACCCTCAAGAACTAGTCCCTGGCTGGGTGCGGTGGCTCAGGTCTGTAATCCCAGCTCTTAGGAGCCTGAGGCGGGCAGATCATGAGGTCAGGAGATGGAGACCATCCTGGTCAACATGGTGAAACCCTGTCTCTCCTAAAAATACACAGAAAAAAATTAGCTAGCCGTGGTGGCATGTACCTGTAGTCCCTGCAACTTGGGAGGCTGAGGCAGGAACCCAGGAGGAGGAGGTTGCTGTGAGCCAAAATCGTACCACTGTGCATAAGCCTGGTGAAAGGGCGAGACTCCATTTCAAAGAGAAAAAAATAAATAAAGAACTAGAACTACCCACTCATTTTCAGATGAGGAAACTGAGGCCCGGAGAGCCTGGGCATAGCTGTCCTGGCAGGAGGGCCCCTCGTGGCTGCTGGCTGAGTTCTCCCTGGGTCCCCGGCCATCCATGGCAGTTGCTGGTGGTATAGATCAGAAAGAAAGCATCTCTGTACCACCCTGCCTGGAAGTAACGCATGGCGGGGAGACATGGCCTCTTCCCTCCTTGGTCCTTCTCCTCTCTCGACTCCGTAGTGGCCCGGGTCATCCGGGGTGTGGGTCTCGGCAGCCCCTCTGCAGGCAGCCCCCTCGTGGCTGGCGGGGTCGGTGCGGCAGCCGCGCCCTGCCTGCTGCTTTTCCGTGTGAAAGGTGTTTAATTATTTCTGACAGAGTTCAGCGTCGACATCTGTCCGTGAGCGGGGGGAGTCCATTTAGGTTATCCATCACTGTGACAGGTTCAACTTTTTTGGAAGCGCTTTCCCCTTCATAATGGGGCTGGGGTGGGGGCGGCAGATCAGCGGCAACGCCAGGCGCAGACAAAGGCCCTCCCGGGGCTTCACACTCGACAGACACTGAAGACAGCAGCTCCTGGGGGGAGTGGCCCTGGCCGCCCGCCCGGACCTCTGAGTCCAGGCCCAGTTGGTGGCTGCTGGGATGGTGGGTGCTTGGGTGCTTGGTTTGGGAAGCGGAGAAAGGGGAGGTTCACCCGGTCTGTAACAGTCTTTTCAATTCTTCTGTCATTCTGGGCTGTACTGGCCGTTCAGTCTCTCACCTCCTCATTCATTCATTCCACAGATACATTTACTGACCCCCCACTGCATGCCAGGCACCCTGCAGGGCTCTGGGGACAAGGTGTGGAATGGATAGGCATGGTTCTGGGGGGCTCACATTTTACTGAGCAAGATGAAAAACATTGCCCAGGTAATTAATTGTAGAGTTAAGTGGTGTGAAGGGGAAGAAAGGATCCCTTTGGTGGTGAGAATGGGGACCTGCGGGTGGGGCCTGGAGGTGAGGGAAGGGGTCCTCAGGAGGCCCTGGGGCTGGAAAGCCCTAGACTGGGCCCAGACTCCACTTCTGACCTCTCTGAGCCTCAGTTTCCACGTCAGTAGAATGGGGACATGATATCTCTGCGATGAGGCAGGCTGAGCCCCAGGTGCATTCTAACGGCTCAGTAAATACTTTTTGTTGATGTCACTTCCTGACAAGGAGGGGACTGCATGTGACACCCATAACAGCAGTGCCCTGTGGGTCTCCAGGTGTCTGCTGGGTTGGACAGGGCAGCATCGAGGATGCAGGTTTCCGGCCAATGGGATAGGGTGACAGCTGCAGCTTTAACTCCCAGGATCCCGTGAATATCCTCAGAAAGGGGGAAAAGCCCTCAGCAGATACAGTGACTTGCATTTTGACTTTCTTTTTTTTTTTTTTTTTTTTTGAGACGGAGTTTCACTCTTGTTACCCAGGCTGGAGTGCAATGGCGCGATCTCGGCTCACCGCAACCTCCGCCTCCTGGGTCCAGGCAATTCTCCTGCCTCAGCCTCCTGAGTAGCTGGGATTACAGGCATGCGCCACCATGCCCAGCTAATTTTTGTATTTTTAGTAGAGACGGGGTTTCACCATGTTGACCAGGATGGTCTCGATCTCTTGACCTCGTGATCCACCCGCCTCGGCCTCCCAAAGTGCTGGGATTACAGGCGTGAGCCACCGCGCCCGGCCTTGACTTTCTTTCTCATTATTTTGCTGGCCCAATAAGTCCCGTGTATCGGCTTGGGCCCTGCCATCAGATACGCCTGGGTTCCAGGCCCGGTCACTCTGTGGGCAAGGAAGGTGCTCTCCCTCTGCCTCTCATCTGCAAAATCCGGTCAGGAGCTTGTTCTGAGGAAGAAATGAAGTAACATGCACATGTGACCTCACACAGTGCCTGCACCGAACCGGAGGCAGTCATTCCTGGTTTGCTATCGTCCATAATCATATTTCAGAACGACAGTCTCAAGACTGGCAGGCCTTGAGTGGTCAAATCCCCTCTTGAAAATGGAAACTCATTCTATGTGTGTTTAGCTCCTACTCCGGGCCAGGCACGGTGGGACAAGGGTGAGTGAGATGGGCGCTCCCAGAACAGGTGCAGCACTGTTACCGGGAGCCCTTTCCCTGCTCTGCTGGGGAGAGACCACCTGAGTGCTGCAGAGGTCAGCCCATGCTGGTGGAACGCCGGGTCCTGGTCCCTCCTCAGGCAGCATCCCCATGGACTGCAGGGGTTCTCAGAGAGAAAAGAGCAGGGAGGTGCCTGGGCATGGTGACTTACACCTGTAATCCCAGCACTTTGGGAGGCCCAGGCAGGAGGATCGCTTGAGCCCAGGAGTTCGAGATCAGCCTGTCCAACATGGTGAAACCTCACCTCTGCAAAAAATACAAAAATTAGCTGGACATGGTGGTGCGAGCCTGTGGTCCCACCTACTCGAGAGGCTGAGACAGGAGGATCACCTGAGCCCGGGAAGTTGAGGCTGCAGCGAAGGTGATTGCACCACCGCATTCCAGCCTGGGTAACAGAGTGAGATTCTGCCTTAAAAAAAAAAAAAAAAAAAAAGGCAGGGAGGAAAGGCCACAGCCAGAGCCAGGATGGAGGCTGTGGATGGAATCTGCTGAGTGTGAGAGAGAGCAGGGGACGCGGAGCAACGTGGTTGGAAAAGGCAGAGAAGCTAGAGATGAGTCATGCTGTAAAAGGGCCAGAGCGGTGAGAGGAGCTCTGGAGCTGCGGTGACGCCTGCCACCTCCCAGACGCGCTCAGCCCTGTTCCTCCCTTGACGTCTGCTGTGCTCGGAGGCGGCACGCTGACGGGCGCCGGGGCGCATGGTCACTGACATATGCTGGCAGAGGCCACTTTGGCAGGACATGAGAGGCCGCATCAAGGGGGGAGAGCAGGTTTCTCCAGGGAAGCTCTACAGCCTGTTCATGTGCATTAGGCTCAGAAAGGCACCGGCCCCTTCATTGTTTAAACTGCAGTTTAATGCGGCACAGCAGCCAGGCCTGGCTGGCTGGGAACATTGCTTTGTGCAGCTGTCTTCCCGTGGCTGGGCAAGTGCCTTGTGGCCTCCTAGAAAGGCTCCCTCTGCCTGCGCTGGGCACACAAGGCTTCCCCAGTCCCGTCCTGAAGCCACTGTTCCCAAATCTTCCATTTCCCTTTCTCCATACAGTGTCCCCGGCTCTTCCATTTTGCTCTTTCTGGGCCAAACGCTGCTGAAGATGAATCCCGTCTGTGTGCTCCAGGGCTACATGGCTGAGTGAACACTGGCTGAGCTCTGAGGCGAGAACGTGGCCCATTCCCTGGCTTCTTATCTAGGTCCGTCTGGGTACATGTCATGCACTTTCCCCAGTCCGGGGCAGACCTTTGCTCCTCTCTCCCTGGGGACATCACTTTGTGGGAAGTTCATGCTGGTTGGCATGCACTTCAAAAATTGCACCCCAAAATTCCCAGCACAGGATCCAATGCATCAATTACCCCTTCCCTGGAGGGAGACTTGGCCCAGACAGCCCCTGCCCCACGTGGACAGGCTCCAACCCTGGTGAACAGCCTCTGCCCCAGATGGACAGCTCCTGCCCCAGGAAGACAGCCTGTGCCTTAGATGGACAGTGACGCAGCCTCTGCCCCCAGATAGTCTGGGTTCAGCTCAAAGCTCTGCTACTCCACAGCATCCACCATGTTTCCTGTCCATCAAATCGGCCCGGTAGCCGCAGCTGCCCCATCAGTGAATGCGGAAAGTCTCTGAGATGATACACACGGGCTCAGCTCCAGGCCTTAGGAAGTGCTTGAGAAACATTAGCCCTTGCTATTGCTAATCGATGGTGAGAAGCCCACAGAACTTACAGACCGCAGGTAAAGGCCTGGCAAGGTGAGTGGCAGCCAGCACGGTGCAGGGAGGGACATGGATGAAGGTGACACTGACCTTCTGGAAGTGAGGCATGTGCCAGAGGGTGTCCAGCTTCACAGGTGGCTTGTACTTCCTCAGCTGACTGCTCCGGGTCTCATACAGCTTCCCAAGGATCACCTGCAGGCGGGGAAAGGCAAAGGTGGGATGGTCACCTGGCTACTTAGGGAAGCCTGTGCTGAAGGGGAGCAGAGACAGAGGGCTGTGATTCTTGGTGTGGCAAGATCCTGGGTCACTTTCCTTCTGGCCCCAGCCCTTCTCCAGGGCTATTTCACAGCACCTGCCTCCATGGTCCTGTCGCTGGCCACGGCTCAGAAAACTGGGACTCCAGGACAGCCAGAACATTCCAGTCTCTGGAACACATGGGATTCCCGCGTGCAGTCACCCCGAGGGTGTGGATAGTGTCTCAGTCACCCTTGAACTTGTCCTCCGTGGCTAATGCAGCCCCAGTGGGTCCTAGGGACTCCATGGTGTTTGAATGAAGAAATGCATGATTCGAGGGGTTACTGCCTCTTAGAGCCGTCCTCCATGGCCTGCTCACTCAGGAGGAATGAGAGCTTCTGTGGGGGACTCAGGGACCCCCAACCACGGTATCTCTGCAGGTGGGATTTCAGAGACACAGTGGAAGCCCCTCTGCTGCTGACCTGCATGCCCGTACCTACTACCAGGTGCCAGCAAGTCCACAGTGAGAGCCCTGTAGCTCATAAGGTCTGTTCTGGACTGACCCAAACGTCATATGTTGAAGCCCTAACCTCCCCTGTGTCTGTATTTGGAGACGGGGCCAGAGGAGGTAATTAAAGAGAAACGAAGTCCTAAGGGTGGGCCCTGATGTGATAGGACTGGTGACCCCGTACGAAGAGGATGAGAGACCAGAGCTGTCTCCACCACGTGGGGACGCAGCGAGGAGGAGCCCATCTACAAGCCAGGAGGAGAGGCCCCAGGAGGAAGCAACCCGTGAGCACCTTGGACTTGGACACCCAGCCTCCAAAACTGTGAGAAAATAAATTTCTTTTTCTTTTTTTTTTTTTTTGAGACAGAGTTTCACTCTTGTTACCCAGGCTGGAGTGCAATGGCGCGATCTCGGCTCACCGCAACCTCCGCCTCCTGGGCCCAGCTAATTTTTTGTATTTTTAGTAGAGACGGGGTTTCACCATGTTGACCAGGATGGTCTCGATCTCTTGACCTCGTGATCCACCCGCCTCGGCCTCCCAGAGTGCTGGGATTACAGGCTTGAGCCACCGCGCCCGGCCAAGAAAATAAATTTCTATTGTTTAAGTCACCCAGCCAGTGGTATTTGTCACAGCAGCCAGAGCAGACTGAGGCAGGGTTCAGGGCCCCCAACTTCAGAACTGGCTGGGGAAGGGGGCAGGACTCTGCATTGTCAATGTGCTCCCCAGAGGATTTCAGAGCAGAGTCAAGCCTGACAGCCACCTCCTTAGCCTATGGCTGTGACCCTTGTCCAAATCCAGAAATCCGCTGGGGCTTTCACAGGTCAGCCCCACCTTTATGCTAGAGCAGAGAGTAGGGACCCCATCCGGGGAGTGGATGAGATGGGCGAGGCAGGAGAGGGTGCTAGTCCCCAAGGGAGCCAGAGAGGATGTGTCACTGCAGGAGGGGTGTGAAGAATAGACACAGGATGGAGCAGGACAGCATCTTCGTGATGTCCAGATCCACGGGGCTGGCTCACTGCCTAGCAAAGATATGACTCAACAGCTCACAGTTACTGAGTGCATGCCCGAGGTTCTTACCATTCATTCATTCTGACCAGCACTCACGCATTCATTCATCAACAAGTTTCTATTGGGCGTTCACCTGCCAGACATTGTTTTAGGGGCTGGGGACACATCACTGAATCCAGTCCTTGTCCTCGTGGAGCTAACGAAATGTCAGGTGGTGAGAAGTGCTTAGCAACAACAACTGAAGACAGGTAAGAGGTCGCAGGATGGCAGAGAGGAGGTGGTGTTTAGGGACGATTGGGGAAGGCCCCCTGGTAAGGTGTCATTCCAGGAGAGGATGGAGGTGGTGGACATCTGGGAGGAGCTTTCCTGGAAGGGAGTGGCAAGTGCAAAGGCCCTGGGGTAGGAGTGCCCTGGGGTAGGAGTCTCCTGGGATAGGAGCATTCTGGGTGCATTGGACAAACATGGAGGTGGGGTGGGGGACGGTGGGACCTATGTGGGAGAGGCAGCCAGACCAGGGGGCCTTAGAGCACAGTAGACTCTAGGCTGTGTTCTGGATTCTTCAGAAGCCTCTGGAAGGCAGAGTAGTGACATGATCCCACTTGGGCTTTGAAAGACTCCCCCAGTGGGCTGCGGAGGGCAGAGCCTGGGAACCATGTGGATGCTGAGCACACGGGTGGGGGCAACTCAACAGCCCAGGTGAGCGATAGGAGGGGTGGAATCCAGTGAAGTTGGGGTCAGCTGCTGGCTTTGCTGAGGCCTCAAAAATAGGGCCTGGGACACGGGGAAGCCAGGTGTGTTTTTGGCCTTCACAGCTGGAAACCATGAGAGGTGCCACTGAGATGGGAAGCATGCGGTTGGGGGTGGGTTTGGAAGTGGGACTTGGCGTTTGGCTTCGGATGTGTCATGTCCTGAGATGTGTGAGGGGACGGGACACAGGCGGCCGGGGACGGGCTGGAGGCCCTGGTCTGGGAGTCATCAGGGTTGACGGCAGCCAGAGCCACAGAGCTGCTTCAGAGCAGCCCTGGGGGGTGTCGGGATGTCGGGGACAGAGGCCTGGCGGGGAGCCCTGGGGCCCTCAAGGCTGCCAAGGCCTTTGTCTCAGGGCTCAGCCGGGAGGGGCCTGTGCATGAGCTCACAGGGTCTCAGGTTTCCTTTGTGTACTTTCTCTTAAACGAGATTCCAAACAGGAGACGTTTCAGGCTCTGCAAAACACAGGTCTGCCCTGGGGTTCACCAGGCTTGTTTCCTCTTTCCCTAAAGTCTTCCAGAGGGGGTGCCGGGTAAACCTTCAGCGTCACCTCCCCAATGTGAAGCACATGGAAGGCACAGTCAGCAAATAAAGACCGAACCAAGTTTAATCGAAGGCGCCACCACCTCAGTAAACCCCTTTTATTGATTTATTTTGTTGTATTAATCTTATTGAATGTGTCTGTGGATCACTTATAAGTCCCCGCCTTTTTTTGGAGATGGAGTCTCGCTCTGTCGCCCAGGTTGGAGTGCAGTGGAGCAATCTCGGCTCACTGCAGCCTCCACCTCCCGGGTTCAAGTGATTCTCCTGCCTCAGCCTTCCAAATAGCTGGGATTACAGGCGCGCGACACCATGCCGGCTAATTTTTGTATTTTTAATAGAGATGGGGTTTCACCATGTTGGCCAGGCTGGTCTCAAACTCCTGGCCTCAGGTGATCCACTGGCCTTGGCCTCCCAAATGCTGGGATTTCAAGCATGAGCCGTCATGCCCAGCTATATCTAGAAGGTTTTGAAACTATCTTTGACCAGAGCAGAGTCAAGCCTGACAGCCAAAGCAGAGAGGCTGCCTTGTCGGGGGTTATGGAGCCCAGCTTCGGAATTGAGGCAAGCAGTCATGTCAGCTTTCTGAGCCTCGGTTCCCTCCGGAAATAGGATGCGGACGCCCACGGAGCAGGGTTCTTGCAGGGTTTGCTGAGTTCAGCTCTGAGTAGGGTGGCGGCCAAGATGATTGCTCACTCATTGGTAGCTGTTGTCACGAATTTCATCTGGGGTCCACATCAACCAAATCAGGACATACCCGGATGCTTACAGGCTTAAGGAGGACCCCTAGGTCTGTGGCAGTGGGGAGGTGGCCTTGCAAACTGACCATCTAAGCAAGGTCAGCAAGGTGTCTGTCAACCCCAGACCATAGCTTCCCAGCGTTTGGTGGGTTTGTAGCCATTTGTAGGACACAGAGCAGCCACAGAGAATCTTGGAGCAACATTACAAGGGTGGTACAAGTGTCTTCTGAGTACCTGCTACGTGGTAAGAGATGGAATTCACAATACCTCCAAATATGCCACCTTGGCATCCTGGAAAAGGGCAGAACTAGGATAGTCTGTTTCACCTTCCCTGCCCTTCTCCCCTCAAGCAGGTTATGAGACCCTCATTCGAGAGGTGCCACCCCAAACGTACAAGAACATCCTGAAAATCTGAACAGACCTTTCGAACTTTCCCCTAGTTTATCACCATAAAATCACATGATTCATCCAATTCTGTTTCTCCACAGCTATCCTACTCTCTTCTTCACCAAACCCAGCATAAAAATAATGTGTTTGGCCCGGCGCCGTGGCTCATGCCTGCAATCCCAGCACTTTGGAAAGCCAAGGTGGGCAGATCATCTGAGGTTGGGAGTTCGAGACCAGCCTGGCCAACATAGTGAAACCCCGTCTCTACTAAAAATGCAAAATTAGCCGGGCGTGGTGGCGCATGCCTGTAATCCCAGCTGCTTGGGAGGCTGAGGCAGGAGAATTGCCACTGCACTCCAGCCTGGGCAATGAGAGCAAAACTCTGCCTCAAAAAAAAAAAAAAAAAAAAAAAATATATATATATATATATGCGTTTATCCATTTCTTTGGGCCTTCATTTCCTTACGGAGGCTCATGTGCCATGCAAAACCTAAAAACATTTGAATACTTTTCTCTTGCAAATCAGTCTTTTGTGATAGGGCCCTCAGCCATGAGTCTAGGACAGGTAGAAGGAAAGACGTTTTCCTCCCCACAGGCACAGCGTAGCGGGCCCTCATTTAATCAGACCCCTTTACACACGCAATGAAGAAACCAAGACCCCAACAAAGAGAATCTCACTCAGCCACACCACGTGCAGAGCTGGCGCCTGCTCCAAACCACATGAGCTGTTTTAGGGGGCTCTGCTAGAAAAGGAAGGGCTCTCTCTTAGAGCAGGAAGATGGGATGGGTTTGCCAACACTCTGGGTTGTGTGAAGTAGCTGCTAATTAAAATTCGCAGCCCTAAGCAGGGCACAGTGGCTCACGCCTGTAAACCCAGCAGTTTGGGAGGCTGAGGTGGATCACCTGGGATCAGGAGTTCGAGACCAGCCTGGCCAACATGGTGAGACCCCGTCTCCACCAAAAATATAAAATTAGCCGGGCCTGGTGGTGCATGCCTGTAATCCCAGCTACTCAGGAGGCAAGGCTTGAACCTGGGAGGTGGAGGTTGCAATGAGCTGAGATTGCACCATTGTACTCCAGCCTGGGCGGCAAGAGCGAAGCTCCGTCTCAAAACGAAGAAACGAACAAAAACTCCCAGCTCTAATGCGGGGCTAGAAAGCAGTTTGTGCTGGTAATGCTCCCTCTGAAACCGGCCATTACCATAGCAAGTGGGCTCTTGCTTGAGCCATTAACAAATAAACTAGTCACGGGTTGCTCTTAAAATGTTATTACAATGCTGAGCTCTCTAATGAGCTATCTTCTCTGCAGACTGCTGGGAAGAGCCAGGAGAGGCCTTGGCACCCGCCACACCTGGAAACCCTCAGCCCCCACTCTGTGCGCCTCTGCTGGCCCCTCCTGAGAGTACCAGGGTTTCTAGAAAGACTCCTCCGATCCCCAGGTTGGCCCTAGAACAACACAGGTGCTGTCGCTGAGCCCCAGGCTTTTCCGTAATCAGCAGGAGTGAGACCTGTCCTTCAGGAAGAGCCTGGACTCTCAGGCCGGACACACCTCTGTCTGACACTGTTGGCAAATCACTTAATCTGTCTGAGCCCCGGTTTCCCGTGAAGTAAACCAAACTGAGATGACGGGAGACACGGAGCTCAGGGCGGTCTCAGAGAACCAAATGTAAAAACTCAGGGTCGTGCTCAGCCCAGCCCTCAGCTCAGAGGCTTAGGATGGTGCTGGTTGTGACTGTTGTGACAACCAGCCACACTGGAGCCACACCCTCGATGAAGTCTATGAAGCACCATGTGAACACAGAGGGATTCCGATTTTACTGTCAGCAGTCTGGACCTACTGCAGAGGAGGCCAATCTGAGCTCTCCGAAGTTTCGAGTTTCGGAATTTTTTTTTTTGAGACAGAGTTTCGCTCTTGCTACCCAGGCTGGAGTGCAATGGCGCGATCTCGGCTCACCGCAACCTCCGTCTCCTGGGTTCAGGCAATTCTCCTGCCTCAGCCTCCTGAGTAGCTGGGATTACAGGCACGTGCCACCATGCCCAGCTGATTTTTTGTATTTTTAGTAGAGACGGGGTTTCACCATGTTGACCAGGATGGTCTCGATCTCTTGACCTCGTGATCCACCCGCCTCGGCCTCCCAAAGTGCTGGGATTACAGGCGTGAGCCACCGCGCCCGGCCCTTAGTTTCGGAAGATTTTAAAGGAAGTACCATTATAGTATCTTTTCTTTTGAGACGGAGTCTCACTCTGTCACCCAAGCTGGAGTGCAGTGGCAAAATCTTGGCTCACTGCAACCTCCACCTCCTGGGTTCAAGCTATTCTCCTCCCTTAGCCTCCCAAGTAGCTGGGATTACAGGCTCCCATCACCACGCCTGGCTCATTTTTGTATTTTTAGTAGAGATGGGGTTTCGTCATGTTGGCCAGGCTGGTCTTGAACCAGCTGATCCACCTGCCTTGGCCTCCCGAAGTGTTGGGATTAGAGGTGTAAGCCACTGCGCCCAGCCTTGGGTATTTTCAAATGTGTATGACAACACAAACGAACAAGTAAAGATGGTTTTCCTTCCTTCCTTCCTTCACTGACCTGACGCCCACCCCATTGCTAGGGACTCCTAACATCAGCAATTGGCAGTGTCTGGACGTCCTCAGGACCTCAGCTCAAACTTCCCTGGGCAGGCTCTGCCTCCCCACGCCTCGACTTCCACGCCTGCCTTGCGGCTTTGGTGACATAGATGACAGGGTGCATGTCCTGCTCGGCAGGCGTTTGGAAAGCTGCCTCTTGGTTAATTTGTAATAAAATGTTACAAAGTGTGATATAATGTGTTCTTCACGGCACCCTTTCGGAAGTGAGTTCCTCTTCAGCTTTGCCTTATTGGCCTTTTCTCTGTAGATTGTACAGGACATACCTCTGTGTGGGCCAGGCCAGGTTAGACTAGAATCAGATTTTGGGTGCGTGAAGTTGTGCAGAGGTTTAGGGGGAAGGGTCCCCAGGTAGGAATCAGGACACCTGGGTTCTCATCCCAGCTCAGAGGCACACGGGGCCTACTGACTGGGGGCCCACACCCATCTCCTCTACCCTATGAGCTTACGGAGAGTCTGAACCAGATCATCACCACAATCCTTTCAGCTCTGGCTTGTCTGATGCTGGTCAGAAAATGCAACCTGATCCCCCCCTCCACCAACCACAAATGTACACAGTGTCATCTTGATGCTTGCCCCTGGCCGGCCCTTCTCTCTTTTCCACCCCACCAGCTGGCAACCCGGGAGTGAGGGCTGCGTTTACCTTCTGCTTCTTCTCCAGTTTGATGGCTTTCTGGGCGGCCTTTTGTTCCTGTACCCACAGCTGCAGGTACCGGTGCTGCAGCAGATCAAAGAAGGGTGTCGAAGGCCTGAAGGTAAGAAGTCCAGACAGAGCTTGAGGCTTGGGAAAGACCAGAGGCACCCTCTTCCCACCCCACGCCGGAGCCTCCTAAACGTCAGGGGCTGCAGGGCCCATCAACCCCAAGACTGTGAAAGCCCCTCTCCCAGGCCGAAAAAGCCATGAAACAGGTCCCTCATAGAGCCTGCGAGTGCTGGGCCTGCAGTGGGGATAGGACTCCCTCCTTGCCAAATGTTAGAGGCCTGGTCCTCTGAGCTCTCTTTCTCACTAGGCCTCATCCCTAGGTCCTAACCTTGGCCTGCTGAAACCAGTGTTAGCCAAGAGTCCCGCTACATGGATGCCCCAGCCTTCATATCTGATTACCCTTGACAGCTGATCGAATTCCTCATCCGCACCCTTGAAAGCCGATGACCTTGGCCTGCCTTTAGCAAGGATCTTCCTGTCTTGCTGATTTTCCATCACTGCCCCTTCCCCTCCCTTGGCTCCTCAGCTAAACATCCCCACTTCTGTGGTATCTGGAACGGAACTCAGTTCTATACTGTAGCTTCTTCCTTTTTGGAACAGCATTGAATAAAATGTCTTTACCACCTTTAATTAGTGTCTGGCTCCGGTTCTCATTGACAACGATTTCCAGCCAGGGAGCGCTTACCCGAGGCATCTTGTATGCCCCACCCCTTCCCAACATGAAAATGGACACGAGTATTATTCCCATCGTACAGATGAGAAGGGCAGGATCCCAGAGCAGTGCAGGCAACACCGCAAGGCAGACCCGCCCAGCCACAAGCCTCTGCAGCAGAGGGAATTCATGTCCATGAAGCAAATGGCCAACTGCTCCCAGGTGGGGCCTGATCTCTAAATAGGCTGAGAGACTGAATATACAAATGAGCACTATTTGTGGGCATGGTGGCTCATGCCTGTAATCCCAGCACTTTAGGAGACTGAGGCAGGTGGATCACCTGAGGTCAGGAGTTGGAAACCAGCCTGCCAATATGGTGAAACCCTGTCTCTACTAAAAATACAAAATTAGCCGGGCACGGTGGTGCGTGCCTGTAGTCCCAGCTAACTTGGGAGGCTGAGACAGGAGAATTGCTTGAACCCGGGAGGTGAAGGTTGCAGTGAGCCAAGATCACGTCACTGCACTCCAGCCTGGGAAACTCTGTCAAAAAACAAAACAAAACAAAACAAAACAAAAGAACTATGAGCCACAGTCTGCAGCAGCTAGGTCAGGAAACCAGCTCGTTTTGTACAGTAACCAGCCCAGGAAACCGCCTGCTGTGCCAGATTTGTGGGAAGTTAGACTGCGGTCTCTACCAACAGTCCAGAAAGCCAAACAAAACCCTTGAAACAGCCAACCCAGAATGTCTGGGACTTGGTTGACAACTGCCAGCTCCACTAATTTTTGTACCTGCTTGTAGCTTAGGACAAAGCAGAGAAAACTAAATAAGCACCCATAACCAATCCCATAGCATGCCCCCATATATATATATATATACATATAAAATACATATGTATAATACATATCTAGAATTTATGATGTATATCATACATATGATGCATGTACATACATTTCTATTTTCAAGAGGAAGAAAATGAAAAGACAAACCAAACTTATTAATTGAGAAGCAACCAGAATGAGAGAGAGAACAGGGAGGAAGGAGCAGAAAGGAAAGCTAGAACTTGTTGAATGGACTTTGTGTTATAGTTTTGACTTTGGAAGCATCAATAAATGATTTGTTTTTCTAATTACAAAAGAATTAAAGAGAAAGGGTTAGCATCTACCCCAAGTAACAACAGGAGAAAGCAAATGAACCCAATTGTGTGTCAAGTTGTGACATAACTACAGATGATTATTTCAAGCGACTATTAATTTATTTATTGAGGTGGAGTCTTGCTCTGTTGCCCAGGCCGGAGTGCGGTGATGCAATCTCAGTTCACTATAACCTCACCTCCCAGGTTCAAGTGATTCTCCCAACTCAGCCTCCCAAGCAGCTGGGATCACAGGCACCAGCCACCACAACCAGCTATTTTTTTTGTATTTTTAGCAGAGACAGGGTTTTGCTGTGTTGGCCAGGCTGGTCTCAAACTCCTGAACTTGAGTGATCTGCCCACCTTGGCATGGTCTGGGTACCAGGGAGGCAGACCGCGAGCCTCTCACTCTGCCTTTTATGTGGCCTGCACGGTGGTGGTCTTAAACTTTGAAATAATTATCAACACTTAAAAATTAAAAATTTTTCCCTTCGAAAGACAACTTCCTGGAGTGTCTTGACATTTTGTAAGTTCTGCCAACGCTAGACTGCACTCTTGGCTGTAGCAATTGGCTGGGGCTGAGTAAAATTCCCCTTCCACCCCAGGCCTCACCCTGCCCTGTTGCCCTACCAGGCTGGCTCCTCTCTCTGCTGGGCTCCTCCATGTTTCACCTTACGGCCCGGAGACAGCTGTAAAGCTAAACCGGACCCCAAATATCCACTCCCTGGCCCCTGACTGTGCCCCTGGACCAGTCTGTCTCCTCTCTACAAAGCTGTCTTCATGCCGGGCCGAGCTGGGATTCTGTCTGAGTCGAGGTTCAGCAGCTTCGCCCTGCCACCCCTGCTCAGAGGTCCTTTACACAGCAGCCTTCGGTGCCGCTACAAACGGTGGTTCTTTGTTTTCCAGTCCCTTTACCCCTGCGGTGACTTTTATTACTTAATTATTACACGCACCATGCTTCTGAGCAGCCTAATTTATTGCTGTGTTTTCTAATGACACTAGATTCGTAATCTGAAAATATCTACCCCAAGAGGCCGATCACAACAAAACAGCTCTCTTCTCAGCAGCCCCCGACACATTCATCGCCACCACAAAGGCACCCGCGGCCTCGGCTGACATCCTCGTGTCCAGCAGTTCTTATTACCAGGAAAGGGGCTCGGGGTGTGAGGGTAACGACACGCCCTGGGAGTCCCAACGGCCCCAGGCTGGGTCCTCTGAAGGAGACCAGCAGGCTGTGCCCGCTTCTGCTCCGGCTCATTACCTTGGATACAAAGGTGGAGAAGCTGGTCTGATACGGGAAGAACCTAGTACATAGGATCATATCACTCCTTGCTTAAAATGCCTTCCACGGCCCCCCATGTCTTAGCCTAAACCCAGACTCATTGCCAGGGCCTCAGGGGCCTTCCAGCAGCTCCTGCCTCCTTCCCCAGCTCCTGCTACATGCAACACCTTGGGTGAACTCTAGGCCTTTATGCTGAGCCAAAAAGGCCAACCTCAAAAGGTTACACACTGTGTGATTCTAGGTAGATAACATTCTCAAAATTGTCCAGGCATTGGGAAATAGAGGGAAGCAGCTTCACTGAAAGGAGCGTGAGGAAGATCTTTGGATGATTGAACAGTTTTGTATCTTGATTGTGTCACACAAATCTACACAGGTGAAAGAGTTGCAAGAACTAAATACACCACACACACACACACGCACACACACACACACACGCACACACATACACGCACACACACGCACACACACACACACGCACATGCACACACATGCGCACACATACACACACGCACACATACACACACGCACACACATACACGCACACACATACACACACGCACACATGCAAATGAGGGCATAAACTGGCAATCTGAATGGAATCTGCGTATAGTACCAATGTCCATTTTTTGGCTTTCATTTTACAATCTAGTTATGTGAAATTCTCTCATTGTGGGGAACTGGGTGAAGAGGATTTGGGCTTTTTCTGTACAATTTAAAAAGCTTTCTGTGAATCTATAATTATTTCAAAGTAAAATATTTTTAAAAGTGCGATCAAGCATGCTAGAGGAAAGACTGAAACAGCTTTATACTTTGTAGAAAAATATTTTAAAATTACTATCATATGGTGGCTCATGTCTGTAATCCCAGCACTTTGGGAGGCCAAGGCGGGTGGATCCCCTGAGGTCAGGAGTTCGAGACAAGCCTGGCCAACAGGGCGAAACCCCCTCTCTACTAAAAATACAAAAATTCGCCAGGTGTGGTGGCGGGCTTCTGTAGTCCCAGTTAATTAAGAGGCTGAACACAAAAATCGCTTGAACCGGGGAGGCAGAGGTTGCAGTGACCCAAGATCGTGCTACTGCACTCCATGCTGGGCGACAGAGAGAGACTCTGTCTCACAAAAATTAGCCAGGTGTGGTGGTGCATGTCTGTAGTCCCAGATACTTGGGAGGCTGAGGCAGGAGAATCATTGAACCCAGGAAGCAGAGGTTGCAGTGAGCCGAGATTATGCCATTGCACTCCAACCTGGGCACTGCAGCAACACTCTTTCTCAAAAAAAAAAAAAAAAACACACACACACACCCAAAAATTACTATCATATGAAGAGGTAATCAAAAATTATAGGGGAAAAAATGTAGGATAAAAATCAGCATAAGGTGCGTAAATTAATTTTTTTTGAGACAGGGTCTTGCTGTGTTGCCCAGGCTGGGGTGCAGTGGCACAATCCCGGCTCACTGCAACCTCCGCCTCCCACATTCAAATGATTCTCATGCCTCAGCCTCCCAAGTAGCTGATATTACAGGCATGCGCCACCATCCCTGGCTAATTTTTGTATTTTTAGTAGAGATGGGGTTTCACCATATTGGCCAGGCTGGTCTCAAACTCCCGGCCTCAATGATCTGCCCTTCTTGGCCTCCCAAAGTGCTGGGATTACAGACATGAGCCACTATGCCTGGCTTTAATTTTTTTTTTAAGTATATTATTTTCCTGGATTTTTGTGGTTTGTGATATTGGTCAGCTAATTTAAATTTGCGATTTGTTCTGATTTCTTTTCTCATCCTAATTAATTATTCAATTTTGTGCCTGAATTTGTAGGCATGATTTTGAATTTTTTTTCTGAAAGGGGGCCCCCAAGCTTGAATAAGCTGTGGGCTGATGATCCCACAAAACCTGCAGCTGTCCTGAATGCAGTAAGATTTTGATTTTTAATTAGCCTGAGAGAATATCATGGACAACTTTGTACCAATAAATGTGAAAACTAAATA